TGGTGAAACCCCATCTCTACTAAAAATATAAAAATTAGCGGGGCATGGTGGCAGGCACCTGTAGTCCCAGCTACCCAGGAGGCCGAGACAGGAGAATTGCTTGAACCTCGGAAGTGGAGGTTGTTATGAGCCAAGATCATGCCACTGCACTCCACCGTGGGTGACACTCTGTCTCAAAATAAAAAGAAAAAAAAGTCAATAAATAAATTAAATATCTGATTATTTCAGCCACTATTTGTGCCATAAAGCACAGAAGGAATACCTTTGTTAGATTTGTATTATATTTCATACCTATATTGCCAAAAAGTGCTAAAAATGTCAACTAATTAACTCCTGCATCTTCTGTTTCTCTAGAAATAGGACTTATTATTTTATCTTAAAAGGCAAATTAACCTGTTTCCTTAATAATAGTCCATTCAACCAGTGTAGAAAATAAAAAGTTTCTCTTCAAAGTGTCCCTTCTTGTTAAAGAATAATAATAAATGTTAAAAATAATATTTTCTCTTTTTTTTTGAGACAGAGTCTCACTCTGTCCCCCAGGCTGGAGTGCAGTGGTACAATCTCAGCTCGCTGCAACCTCCGCCTCCCAGGGGGAAATTATTTTCCTGCCTCAGCCTCTCAAGTAGCTGAGACTACAGGTGCGCACCAACATGTCTGGCTAATTTTTTGTATTTTTAGTAGAGACACGGTTTCACCATGTTGGTCAGGCTAGTCTTGAACACCTGACTTCATGATTCACCCACTTCAGCTTCCCAAAGTGCTGGGATTACAGGCCTGAGCCACTGCACCCAGCAATAGTCTCTTTTAAAGAGTAACTTTCTTCAAAGCCTTCTTGCTTTTTGCTAGTAACTCTTTGTTAAGCCCTATCCTGTGTAGTTGTCCAGATATAAAGGAATAAGTACATTCTATGTCCTTATACTTTAACCAAGACATTTATGTTATTGCTTTTCTAAGTCTGTTTGCAAGCAACTTCCTCTGCCTTCCTTATTTGGACTTCCTCTTTTTCTTTTGTTCTCCATTGCTTTTATGGATTTAGGAAAGTTTTAAGTGGTTAGCCAATCGGGCTCAGTTTAGATACAACAAAGATAGGATACAGCAGTAAGGAGCCAACGCATAAGGAATAAATATGCCCTGCCTTTCCTTTGTTCATTGTACTCTCGTGGCAAGATGGCTGACCAACAGTACCCTTTCTGCAGAAAGTAAAATTGCCTTGCTGAGAAAACTTTTTGTCTGAATACCAATTATTCCTTGCGGTACCTAGGAACAAGCATTCTGTCTCTAACAACCAGCAATGCTGATTGCATGCCAGGTGCAGTAATATTGAGTAGATAAGACATAGCCTCTCGGGAGTCTAAGGCAGGAGAATGGCTTGAACCAGGGAGGCAAAGGTTGCAGTGAGCCACTGTACTCTGTCTTGGATGATGGAGTGAGACCCTGTCTAAAAAAAGAGAGAGAGAAAGTGGTGGTGCAGGATTCAAATCCAGGTCTGACCCCAGAATCCACTATGTGCTGTGCCAGTCTGGCCTCAGGTCTGCACTTAGAAATTGCAGGCATTGCTCCCTCTCTCAGTATTCTTCAGAAGAGAACCAGCATCAAATGAGAGTTTTTCATGCTGTCTCATGAAAACTGAAAGTTACAACTTTCCACACAGACATCAATTTATGCAATCAATCTGTTTCAAAATCATTCTTTGCCACACTTTCTCTACAAAATGGAAATTGGCCGTGTTTTTCAACAAAAAGTTCAGGATAACTGGTTAAGAGTCTCAATTTGGTTGAGTGACATGCGTTATTATTGGCTAAGTTTTTTTTTTTTTTTTTTTTNTTTTTTTTGAGACAGAGTCTTGCTCTGTCACCCAGGCTGGAGTGCAGTGGTATGATCTCTGCTCACTGCAACCTCCACCTCCCAGGTTCCAGAGATTCTGCTGCCTCAGCCTCCTGAGTAGCTGGGACTACAGGCTGTGCCACCACACCTGGCTAAATTTTTGTATTTTTAGTATAGACGAGGTTTCACCATGTTGGCCAGGATGGTCTGAATCTGCTGACCTCGTGATCTGCCTGCCTCAGCCTCCCAAAGTGCTGGGATCACAGACGTGAGCCACCATGTCTAGCCGTGGCTAAGTCTTTATTAGCAAACAAACTATGAAAAACCAGGAGAAGCGGATAAAAAATAGGAAGAAAGAATCACAAACCAAAAGAACTACAAAGGAAAAATCAGGCAGTTTTCTTGAGTTTCCAGCTGTATAGGAAACAGGGTAGGATGGGGATCTGTAAAGAGAAGTTTCCTACCTGGGTTGGGCCTCCAGTTGTCAAAGTCCTGGGCAATACCCCTAATCGGATGCCCGGGGAACTCCTGGGCAGAGGTGAAGGGATTTGCTCTTTTAATTATGCAGTTTCATTAGCTGGTTCTGAAATGGTTCACAAAGCACAGATCCAGAGTGCCTTGCCAGTTTTGGGTATTACTTGGAGGCTGATATTCTTTCATGTATCACACAGCGGCAGAGAAGGTAATTACCTTCTGGTTCTTGGCAACTTCAGTAGAAGTGCAAATATGAAGTGAGAGCTACTAATCTGAGGCAGGCAGGATTCTAACACTTACAAATACAATAACTCTTTAATCACTAATTAGCGATGATGTTATTATCTCCATTTTATAGATGAAGGAACTGAGGCTTTTTGTCTCCAGCAAAATGAGCAGAGCCACGGTTTGAACTCTGGCAGTTTGTCTCTAGAAGCTCTTATCCTAGGAATACCACCAGTTAATTCAACAGGCAGCTGGTGGAGGACATACTGTGCGCGCTGCCTTGGAACCCGGCACTCCTGAGCCACAAACAGTCCATTTTTTCACCTTGGAAGAGGAATGGAGAAGCCGGGCCGGAGTATTTCTATATAATGTGCTACACTGTTAAACAGGAAAGTCCACTCGTGCTCGACAGAAATTCCTGTGTTCCCAAGCACATCCTAAACGTGCTTGGAAAGTTACTGAGCTAGAGTGGCTGACCTTCAAGGCGCAAACCGATTCAGTCCCGATTCAGTCAACAGACCGGCTGCAGATTTCGTTGTCACTTTAGGTCCCTGAAACTTACTTTGTTTTAATGAGACCATTCTGCCAAAGTGAAATTTAAACAAATTTAGAATCTCACTACTCTGTGGTTTGCTTTAAAGACCGAAAAATGCCTGGGCTAAACCTTAAATAAAAGGACTGTCTTGCAATTAAAAATGGAACCAAAAATCCTAACTGTTCTGCAAAAGTGAAATTTAAACAAATTTACAACCATACTAGGTTTGGTCTTGGCTGTTTGCTTTAAAAACTGAAAAACACCTGGGCTAAACCTTCAATAAAAAGATTAAGTCTTGCAATTAAAATTTAAACTCAAAATACTCCCCCAGTAAAATTCCTTCAACTTTTGCCGTATGCTTTCAAGTTTTCAAAACAGGATGGATAGGACAAAAGTATTCCACCAAAATCTAAAGAGTAATGACGAATCTCCTCTTTGTGCCAGTTCATTAAATTGCCTCATGGCAACTACGGATAAGTAAACGGCTTTATCCCGAACGGCTCTGCCCTTTAAACGAATGACGGGCAACAGAGACCGAAAAAGTGTGTCCCCAGGAATTCGGGAGGGAAGGTGAAGTGTGGCGGGACCGCCATGAAGGGAGGTTCCCGCCCCCTGAGTAGGACCGGGCGGGGAGGAGGAGTAGGAGCCGAGCGGGGAGGGCGGTGGGGCCTTCATGGCCGGAGAGGGGGGTCCCTTCAGGGTGGGCGGTTTCCTCCTCTCCCGCCGCAGGCAGGAGCGCGGGGCACCCAAACCCCATAGTTTGCAGCGTCAGGCAGCGGGTCTCCAGCTCCTGAGAGGATGAGGACCCGGGACGCCCTCTTGAGCTCACAGCGCCCGGCGGACACGAGGCGCTCACAAAACAAAGCAGGGGCTTCAGGGAGGGCGCGGCAGCTGGGCCGAGCGCGCAGATCGCTCCGGACCCGGGCGCCGCCTGCGAGCCCCGCGACCCTCCTGGAAGGGCTCGCGCTAGGCGGCGCCCGGGTCCCGTCGGCCAGGGTGAGCGTCCGGCCCGCGTCCCCGCCACGCCCGCCGCGCTCCCCTTTCCTCTGCGGCGGGCAGAGAGATAACCCCGCCCGAGGGGCCCCGGCGCCCGCCCCCCCACGCGGCCACACTGGAATTCGCGGCCCCTCTCGGGTCCCGGGGCGCATTTTGCAGTCTGGGTGGCAGCGCACTTGCTCCGGGACCAGCGGCTGCCCCGCCGCGGCGGAGGCGCGGACTTTTCTTTTGGGGCGTAAGATGGCAGGTCCCGGGAAACAAAGGAAACTTGGGCCCGGCCCCCCGCGCGGCGTGTGTGGCTCGCGTGTGCGCCCCAGGTCCCGTGTGGGAGTCGCTGGCGCCTGTGCCAGGCTGCCTGCAGCCCGCAGGCGGCGGGGGAAACCAGCCGGGTACCAGCAGCCGGCGGCGCCCGCCCACCTGCAGCGGCGGCCGCCCGGGGGACTCCCGGTCCGCGAGGGCCCCAGCGGCGGTGGCGGCGGCGGGGGAGGGGGCGCTGGGGAGCCTGGAGCGGGGCGGGGAAGGCGGGGAGGCGGCGGGCGGCGGCGGAGGGGAGCCGGGGTGGGCGGGCGGCGCCACGTCACGGCTATTGTGGCTGTCCTGGTATATAAGGTCCCGCCGGCTCGCCGCGCTCCCCACCTTGCCTGCGCCCGCCCGGAGCCAGCGGTTCTCCAAGCACCCAGCATCCAGCGAGACGCGCCGCGCACCGACGGAGGGGACATGGGCAGAGCAATGGTGGCCAGGCTCGGGCTGGGGCTGCTGCTGCTGGCACTGCTCCTACCCACGCAGGTGAGGCCCTGGCGCCCGGCGGGGCTCGAGGGCCGTGCCCAGGGTGGGGGCGGGGTATGGACCCGGTCCCTGGGGACCGTCCTGCGCCCCGACCTCGGGCCATGGACAGGGAGCGGGAGAGAATCTTGCTTAGCTGACCGGGGAGAAGGCCATGTGGACCCCACTTTCCATTCCCTTGCATGCTGCCCCCGTCCCCTCCCACGGCCCTGGGAACAATGCAGCTCCGCGCGCGGGCTGAGAGGACCCTGCCCCACCCCAGGCTCCACGCTGTCCCTTCCCAGGCAGCCAGGTGCCTATTGCCCACTTTCACCCAGGGGCCCGAGGTGCCTGCAGGGAAGAGCGCCTTGAGAGCTCAGGCTCCGGTGGGACGTCGTCCCGGGTCCCCGGAGCACCTACTTTCCCCTAGAAGTGTCTTCGCGCTCCCAGTGCTCTACACAAAGAGAGGCGACGGTCCCCTTCGGGAAGCGCGGCTCACGCCCATCCTCCACCCTCGGAGCTGGCTTGGGGATCCCGGGGAAGCTCTGGTTATCCGGCCCTATCTTAAGCCCCAGTCCCGGGAGGTTTGGGGCTGAAGTCGAGGCGGGGACCCTCTCCTGACGTAGCGCTCTCTGCGGTGCAACCTTTCACGTCCAACGCTTGTTATCTTAGAAGCCCCAGGTTATTTTAGCCCAGTTTGGCTAGTTCTGGGGAGGCAGCATGGTGGGACGATTCCGTCCCGAATCCCCGCCAGGCTTTGTCCGTGTCGTCGCTACCAGCGCCGTCTCCCCAGACCCTCTATCCGGGGAACCTCGCCCTGGGTGCGGGTACCTGGGGCCGCTCAGCGCTGCCTCGAGGGTGGACGCACGACGCCGGCGAGATAGACCCGGGACTGGGAGACCCCGGCGGGGGCGGGGGCGGGGCCGGGGGCGGGGGCGAATAAGGTATGTTTCTTGGGGCAGTTCGGGTTTGGAGCATGGGAGTGACCGCTCTCCAGCGCCTTCGGCTGGGGTTAATCGAGGACTGTCCCTGGGGCTTCTCCCTCAAAAGTTGGGAGCGCTGGGTCCGCCGTCCCCAGGCATCCAACGTCCGGGTTTACCTGGGAGTGCAGCCTGAGAGGGTGAAGCGCTCTTCCCTACCGCGGGCAGGGTAAACGTACCCTATTGTCTTCCTCCCAGTCCGCTGCGCACCCGAGCCTTGCTCAATTCTTTGGTGGGGGAGGGGCGCGGCCGGGAGAAACTGGCTCCCTCCTCTCCCCGCCCCATCTCCTCTCGGACCAGGTGTTTCTCCTCCAACATTTTAAGTGAGAAGTTTTAATAACGCGAATAAATCTAGCTTGGAATAGAAAATTTTGTTTAGTGTCAATTTAATAAACAAAAATTTTTTGTGGTTGCTGTAGAGGATCTTTAGATTATCGGATCAATACACTGGATTTTAAAAAGAAAACATCACCTGCTGCACCAAAACTCATTGTGTGAATAAAGAACAGGTTACTTTCAGGGATTCCCAAATCGGGTCTCCGATACAGGCACCCTGTTTTAAGTAAATTACCACATCCATGCTTTCCTTTATTGGGAGTGCCGTTTCCTGATGGGACACACTCAGCCTTGCACACAGTAGGTGCCCAATAAATAAATTTGACTTGATCAAGATTTTTTGTTGTTGTCACTAATCTATTTTGGTTAGGATTTGTGTATTTCTTTAGTCAATATTTGTTTAATGACCTTACGGGTTTTACAACAAAAGGAGCTGGTGCTGATGTAGAAGGGCTTTATCTTTGGATTAATAGGCAGCCAAATGTACATGGGGCCCAGACTCTTGCCTGGTGCCACGTCCTCCCTCCCGCCTGTAATCAGAAGCCCTTGTAAACCCTCCCTTGCAGTGAGGGCTGAAAACTCCGATCTGCCTTTGTTCCATGACAAAGGAGAGATTATCACGTGCCCTACTGGACTGTGCATTTCGTGGCTTGAAAAATCAGTGGTGAATGATGCCACTCAGACGCTGGGACACTGGGGGAACCTTGGTTCTTGGCCACAGCACTGAGCTTAGTGACCAGTGAGGCTGCTGTTTGTGAAACTTAACACCATACCCTCTCGTCCTCTTTTGTGAAATCCTCCCGACTTCATGGTGTTTTCCTGAAGTCATTCTGCCTTAAAGGAAAAATTCATTTTCAATTTAACACAAATATTGTGGCCATTTTTTAGAAGAGTTATTGTTTCAAATTTCAAGGGAGTAGCTAAGAGCCCAATTCCCCCTTAAGGAAAAGGCTAAGTTGCCAAGGCTCTATTAAATGGATATGTGAAAGTTATCTAGCAAATCCAGGATAGACAGTGACCCAGTTAATTCTAGTTCCGTAAATCTCCATTACAATATTTAAAAATCCCTACTTTTTTGTAGAACTTTAAAATCTCTCCCTTTCTGGGAAAATACACATTATTGCAATGCCATTAAGTCGGTATAATCTCGGAAACTGAATTAGTTAACCTGGTCCTTTTTTCCTTTGCAAAGAAATAAAAACAGGAGTTAAAGTTATGGAATAACTTTTTTTTTCTTCTTGTTGCCACTGGGTATTTGAGGCTTCTCTAGTTTGTTTTGAAACTAAAGCGAATGACCTAGGTGGGCTGAGCAAGGATTCAGAATTTAATGATGTGGGTAAGAGAATAATGGTAAGAGAACAGTCTAAGAATGTATCACCTACTTTAATTTTATATCAGAGCATGTGGAGGTAGCTGTGATGGGGAAATTTACCCGTGTTACTTTTTATATATTTTAGATTTATTCCAATCAAACAGCTGTTGTAACAGTTTCAAGTAACTCCTCCCAGAGTACTTCCGCGGCCCCAAGTCCAGCTAATGCCACCACCAAGGCGGCTGGTGGCGCCCTGCAGTCAACAGCCAGTCTCTTCGTGGTCTCACTCTCTCTTCTACATCTCTACTGTTAAGAGACTCAGGCCAAGAAACATCCGTACTTCCCCATCTTCTAAACCCAATCCAAATGGCGTCTGGAGGTCCAATGTGGCAAGGAAAAACAGGTCTTCGTTGAATCTACTAATTCCACATCTTTTATTGACACAGAAAATGTTGAGAATCCCAAATTTGATTGGCTTAAAGAACGTGTGAGAGGTTTGACTAGATGATGGATGCCAATATTAAATCTGCTGGAGTTTCATGTACAAGATGAAGGAGAGGAAACATCCAAAATAGTTAAGACATGATTTCCTTGAATGTGGCTTAAGAAATATGGACACTTCCTTGAAAATCAGAATAGAAATAAAGGATGTGATTGTGGAATGGAGATTCAGTTTTCATTTGGTTCATTAATTCTATAAGGCCATAAAACAGGTAATATAGAAAGCTTCCATGATTCTATTTATATGTACATTAGGAGGAACTTCCAAGTGTTACCGTAATTCCTCAACGTATTGTTTCGACAGCACTAATTTAATGCTGATATACTCTAGATGAAGTTTTACATTGTTAAGCTATCACTGTTCTCTTGAGAACTGAACTCACTTTCCTCTTGAGGCTTTGGATTTGACATTGCATTTGACCTTTTATGCAGTAATTCACATGTGCCAGGGCAGTGATGAATTAGAATCTACCCCCAGGTCCAAGCATTCTGAGTAACTCTTGATTATCCATATAGAGTCAAATGGTAGGCATTTCCTATCACCTATTTCTATTCAACAAGAGCACTACATGCATTTAGTACTGATTTAAAGAGTAGAATTGCGTTGATCGCAACTAATTTCAAAATGCTTATTATCATTTTTTTTCTGAGATGGAGTCTTGCTTTGTTGCCCAGGCTGGAGTACAGTGGTGTGATCTCAGCACAATGCATCCTCTGCCTCCCAGGCTCAAGCAATTCTCTTGCCTCACCCCCCAAGTAGCTTAGATTATAAGCGCCCGCCACCACGCCTGGCTAATTGTTGTATTTTTAGTAGAGACGGGGTTTTACCATGTTTGCCAAGCTGGTCTCAAACTCCTGACCTCAGGTGATCTGCCTGCCTCAGCCTCCCAAAGTGCTGGGATTACAGGTGTGAGATATCATGACTGGCTGTAAAAATGCTTTTTATTTCTGCATATGTTGAATACTTTTTACAATTTAAAAAAAAGATATTTTGAAGGTAAAATTACAAATCTTGGAAATAAAAAGGCAAAAATGTAAAAGAACCAAAACTGTAAATCAAGTATTTGGGAAGTGAAGACTGGAAGCTAATTTGCATTAATTCACAAAAACTTTTATACTCTTCCTGTACATACTTTTTTTTTTTTTTAAAACAACTATGGATTGGAATAGCCACATTTGGAACACTTTTTGTTATCAGTCAATATTTTTAGATAGTTAGAATGTGGTCCTAAGCCTAAAAGTGGGCTTGATTCTGCAGTAAATCTTTTGCAACTGCCTCGACACACAGAAACCTTTTTGAAAATTGACACTCCCTGAAGTCTTTTGTTCGCATGGTCACACACTGATGCTTAGATGTTCCAGTAATCTAATATGGCCACAGTAGTCTTGATGACCAAAGTCATTTTTTTTCCATCTGTAGAAGACTACATGGGAACAAACAGATCGAACGGATCTGAAGTTACTGTGTGTGTGAATGAACACTCTTTTGCTTCATTCCAGAATGCTGTACATCTATTTTGAATTGTATATTGTGTTTGTGTATTTATGCTTTGATTCATAGTAACTTCTTATGTTATGGAATTGATTTGCATTGAACACAAACTGTAAATAAAAAGAAAGAAATGGCTGAAAGCAATCTTGCATTTTAAGTTTTTCCAGTGTGAGAAATACTTTGTGGGTAATCATGGTTCTATGAACCTGTTAAATTTTTAAAAAATAATTAAAAACATAAAATTTTTTTTTTAGAGACAAGATTTCACCATGTTGCCCAGGCTGGTCTCGAACTCCTGGGCTCCAGTGATCTTCCCGCTTTGGCCTCCCAAAGTGCTGGGATTATAAGCCACCGAGCTTGGCCCTCTATGGTCATTAAATTGTCACTTCCATCTGCTCCTTTCACACCCCTGAATTCCTTTGAGACACTAAGTGCATTCCAAGACTCAGCTCCACCATCTTTGTGGTGGTTCAGGGACAACCTGGAAAGGCAGTCTGGAACTTGGGAATATGTGGAAGGTGTAGTCCACAAGTGTGCTTTCTTTAATGAACTTCACTTCTGCTTTTAAGTCTTTTCAATGGATGGAGTAAGACCCCCTCAGATGATCTAGGTATCTATCTACCTAGTTACACACACACACACACACAAGGAAGAAATATAGCTATTACAATTCTCATTTCTGCAGCTGGTCACGTGACTGTAGTTGGTTTTTATAGTTACCTTCTTCCATTGTCAATTCCATATTAACCTGGCTGTCAGTAAGCATCTCAGCTGGTCAATAAGTCTGGCAAGGTGAACCAAATCTTTGCTTGAATTTTATTGTGGCTTCCCACTTATTTTATCTTATTTTATTTTATTTTTGGAGACAGAGTCTTGCTCTGTCGCCTAGGCTGGAGTGAAGTGGCATGATCTCAGCTCACTGCGACCTCCACCTTTTGGGTTCAAGAAATTCTTGTGCCTCAGCCTCCCAAGTAGCTGGGACTACAGGTGTACACCACCATGCCTGACTGAGAGACAGGGTTTCACCATGTTGGCCAGGCTGGTCTCGAACTCCTAACTTCAAGTAATGCCTGCCTCAGGCTCCCAAAGGACTAGGGTTACAGGTGTGAGCCACCACGCCCGGCTTCCACTGGCTTTAGTGACAGGACATAGTAGTACTAAGAGATGCCCTAAGACATCTGTATTGCAAACTTGCTTTTCCTTTACTTCCATTGTACAGTGGCAACCCAGTTTCCCAATGGCAATCAGAATCAGTAACTCCAACAGCACAGTAACTCCCTTCTTTGCCTTTTGATGCAGAGGCTTGAGGAACCCAAAGTGACTGGATGGCAGTCTCAACTTCCAGTTCAGTGGGATCATTGCTGTGTTTCTAGCTGGAAGCATTCTTCCTTACCAGCAGAGGTTAAAGTAGTAAAAATTTTGCTAGCGAATCACTGGGGTAATAGTGGTGTCACTAAATTTCCACTCCTTGATTCCTGGGCCTGCAAACCTGGCTATGGGAGAAACAGCAGCATATTTAGACCATATATAGCTTCCTGGAGGACACTGCCCCAGTCCTGTAAGGTATTGTCACCTAATTGTCCTATAACTTGTTTCCAAAATGCCATTCCTCTGTTCTGTCAAGTCAGTGGCTTTATGAGGGACATACTGTACTAAGATCAGTGAATTCCATGATCATGGTCCCATCACCACACATTAGTTCCCTGTCAGAAGCAGTGCTGTGTGGATTACCATGATGGTGGTAAGCATTCTGTAAGTCCATGAATGGTAGTTTTGGCAGGAGCATTGTATGCAAGAAAGGCAAATTCATAACCTGAGTAAGTGTCTATTTCATTAAGAACAAAATGCTGCCCCTTCCATGATGGAAGAGTTCCAGCGTAATCAACCTTCCGCTGCATAGCTGGCAGATTACCTGGAGAGTGGTGCCACAGAGGAGACTAGTGTTGGTCTCTGCAGCAGCAGGTTGGGCGCTCTCCGGTGGTTGTAGCCAGGTTGGCCATGGTGAATGTAAGTCTATGTTGCTGGGCTTCTGCCACCATGGCCACTTTGTTCATGAGCCCACTGGACAATGACAGGGATGGCTAGAGAAAGAGGTTGATTGATATCCACAGAACGGGTCCTCCTATCCACCTGATTATTAAAATCCTCTACCGAGGTCACCCTATAATGAGCATTCACATGAGACACAAATATCTTCACATTGTTTGCTCATATACCTCTATCCTTGCATCTCTTCCCTAGATCTTCTTGTCACCAACTTATGTCCCTTCCGATTCCATTCAGCCAAATCATGGGCCATAGCCTGATGGCCAGATTCATATCTGGCCATTTCTCCTTTCAAGCAAAATTAACAACCAAGTGCCCTGCTTGGCTGTAATTCTGTCCACTGGGGGTATTTCGCTTCATCACTGTCCTTCAGGGATGTCCTCAAGGGGTTTGTAGAACTGTAGCTCCTTACTTTTAGGTAGATACATGTATTGTGCAGAAAAAACCAGACCAAGTTTTTTTCTATAAACCAGACCCAAGTTTTC